CTTCAGCATCACCAACAGATCGTCAGTGTGAGATTGAGATTGAAAACGCCACAAAGAACTACATTCTTTATAATCCTCGGTAAATGCTGATTTCTTGACATTTAGCATGTTTGCCGTCTTGTTCTAAACGTCGGCCTCACTGCTCAGACGTGTTTCAATCCTTTCTGTCCAGGTTGTACATCCGCAGAGGGTGCTGCGTTTATCCTTTGCGTCCTAGAATCGATCCATCCTCATTTGGCTATATGGCGTTCGCCAAGATTCCACGGGCGGCATGTGGATGCGCCGGCATCTTCACCTATGAGCTCCTCAGTTCTTCTACAAGAACATCCACAGAGCAAATCGCCGTCATGTTCAAGGTGCCGTTTGACCAAAACTTGAAGTCAAACGCGTACGCAGTAGGAGTCTTTGACATCAGCAAAGAGTGCAACCGGTACCTTTTTCAAGATATGACAAAGGGTTTGGACACAACGTTCATCAGAGGCAAAGCAAAGGTCCCCGTTCTCATTCACAGAAGCCGACAAGTGACCATCATGGCCGCCATGTCGGACTGCTACACACCCACACTGAGGGTGCAAGTGAACGACGACTGAGATAAAACGTGTGAAATGTATGTTTCCAACATGGATTCATATTGAAGATGCTGGTGATGGTGAACGGCTGTTAGCGCGGGTTAATGGAGCACATGTCAAGGTGTGTTTTCTGTATTAACGCCCCTGTGTATGTATGTAGCTTATGGGGAACTGTTTCGCTGGTGCTTTTACAAGAATTACTGTTAAATACCTTCAGTTTTTTGTTTTTTTCAAAGGTCCATGTGATTCCTACAGGGGTTGTATTTGATCCTTTTGTGAACATGTTGCACACACAGTTTAGACCATTTATGATTTAGCCTAAACCTGCCAATCATTTCTAATCATTCAGCTGCAGACATTCTGTCCATCTTTGTTTTAAAAGCAATAGATCTTCATCGCTATGATTCAGGTATGATTCAAACTTTTGGGGGCCTGAGTAGTAGCCATTGAGGGCCTCTTGTTTGAACGTGGGGGGCAGATATCAGCCTGGTTTGCCAGCTCTGTAAACAGACTACTGTATATGAACACTTCAATAAATGACTTTAATTTCTCTACTTTTGTTTTCTTTTCATTTTCTAAGTATCTCACCATCATGACATTGCCAGACTTGAGACAATCTCCCCTACACAATTTGAAAAAGACATCACTACTGGCAGCACTGTGTGGTGAGGTAAACAAAGGTAGTTGAATCATGCTAAAAGCAGCCACGAGCTCATCCAGATGAATGGCCAACGATTTTGTGATTTGATCTGCTGGTGTGTTTGTAAAAGTTCAAAATCTTCCAGCTCAAGGTGAAGCAGATGAAAACTTTTGCAACATGAAATCAGCACGTTAGCACATTGGTAGCATCTTGATGGAAGCATTTTACTCTGAGGACGACCTCAAAGAAGCGCCGGCATGGCTGTACCTGTGTACCCACAAAATTAGCATTAGTTAAGCTTAAAGTATATATGCGGCCTGTCTTTTAGCTCTTTTTCCCACCAGTTTTGTCTTTGTTGGGGCTTCATATCTGTATTACTCCAATAGTACTTCCATAATATTCCATTATGTTGTTCATACCAGGGAAACATTCATACATTACATTGTGGAGATTCAGCGTGATGTGTTCCCTAAAACTTGCAAGTTATATTATTTTTGTCGCCTTATCAAACTATTCGTGTACAGAAAATAAACAATAATAATTATTAAGTGTATTCAGTTTGTGCATTTAATGTTGTTTTGTATTTTGAATAATCAGTCAGTTTAGTTTCCCTCAGGGGAATTCCATCGTTAAATACCGTCGCTGTGGTCATAACCCAGATATGATGAGCTCCAGAAATGGGATCAAACTAGTCGGGGCACCTTTAACTGGTATTTATCTGCACGTTTGCTGGAAGAGGTGGAACTTGGCAGAGTGGTTTGTCAGTAATTGTGGTTTCATTAAAGAAACACATCAGGCTTTATTATTATGATTATTACTATGATGATGATGATGATGATTATTATGTTTTAAATTTTTTTTTAATCGAGCAATTTTCAAAATCCAGGTTACACAATACTTTTATAAGGACGCTTTCCTTTAGAGACAGTCAAACGCACAACACAGTGGATAAAACCAACACAGTGTTCAAGAAGTAGGAACATTATTAGATGAAATAAAAGACATTTAAAGAGAAAATAAAAACTGAAATAAAATCAGGAAAGGTTTTCTGTCTTATGACAGACTCAGCTGACCTAATTACTGAGTCGTGTGACTTCATGTGCAAATTGGACAAACTACACCAACATGGAGTCCGATTGGAGACGACGCCGGCAGTTACCCGAGAGAGAAGGAAGTGCAAACGGTACGAACGTAAACAAAGGAGGAGGAAGAGAGCTGGGATCCATGCTAAGCTAAAGGCTAACCCCTCCAGACCAGCAGGACCGTCCTCCTACTCTCCAATGTCCACTCCCTCCACAACAAGCTGGACGTTTGCTGAGAGAAACCCTCAGAGAGTGGAGGGACTGCTGTGTGTCTGCTTTAACAGAAACATGGCTCCATGACAACATCCCAGACGGACATACAGCTGGAGGGGATGCAGACAGATGCAGGCATCACCATCGTCACACCATCGTGTCCCTGAAGACCTACCAGGACCTGAAGAGGTTCACCATGTTCAACGTGATGGCGGCACGCATGGAGACAGCAAGAGTGAACGTCTAGTGTCTTATCCCAGACGGGCTGGAGTCTATCCCAGCTGACTCAGGGTGAAGGCAGGGGACACCCTGGACAGGTCACCAGTCTATCACAGGGCTACACTTAGAGACAGACAACCAAGCACACTCACATTCACACCCACGGACAATTTAGAATCACCAATTAACCTGCGTGTTTTTGGACTGTGTGGGAGGAAGCCAGAGAACCCGGAGAGAACCCACGCTGCACGGGGAGAACATACAAACTCCACGCAGAAAGATCCCGGTGTCCCCACCGGGACGCAAACCGGCGACCTTCTTGCTGTGAGGCAACAGTGCTACCAACTGTGCCTCCCTGCAGCCCCTATCCCAGACGTGCATTCCGCAAAACTTAAACAATCCTGAAGAAACGCTCTCTCATCTTGCCTGTACTACTGTGTATGTGCAGCAACATGACAATAAACTTGATTTGATTTATGTTAAAATGCTTACATTAACGATCAAATGTCCAGCCTCCACCTTAAACACCAAACCATCACAAACCTAAACAACCTCACCTGGTGAGTGATTCCAACATGCTGCAGATTCTCAAAGCTGCAAAAACAGGAATGGGACGGTCACATATCACGTGAAGACGGCGTCACGTTTCACACTATTTGTGACCCGTTTCTTTTCCTGCATCTTTTTTTTTTTACTTTCTTCTTGGCCTTAAGGGAAATCATATTTAGAATTCATCATCACACCATCATTGGATCAACAGCTAACCACAGATGTGACTATGAATCACCAGCGAGCTATGTGATCACGCATTTACTGGTTGCTTGCTTTTTCCAGGAAAGGATTTAGTTGTCTTAATACCAAGCATTGTCAAATGCAGTATGCCAAAAAAAAACAAAACAGGATGTTGTGGAGGCCTGGGAACAGAAGATATGCAAAGAGCCCACAGACAGCTCATTTCACATTACAGAGTGTGACAGACGTCTAAGGAAGACTGTTCAAGCTGAAGGTACAGCGTTCATGCAGCACTGTGTGCGTGCAACAATATGCACATTGTAGATTAAAAAAAGAAGAAAAAAAAGTGGAACGCAGCCCACAGTGTTCAACGTCACAACACTACAAACTGTCTCTGGGGGAAAATCTGCAAAAAAGCAAACTTGTGGAAAGTAAGTATAAGAGTCTGCGAGAGAATCCTCATGTTCTTTGTCAGTGTTCTGAAGTCTACAACGGAAACATGTGAGTGTGAACACCGGGATGTGTCTGTTGGCCCAGAAGTGAAGCCAAAACATCTTGACGCCCTCTAGTGGCTGGTAGGAGTCATACACCCCTGCTTCCACCGTGTTAGCAGAGGGGACGAAACTTTGGCTATTTATGGTTCTAGTTACGCTTCTTTGGTCAGCACACTGGTGTTTCTGCTTCATGAAATCCACAAATGTATTCATACCCTTCCATTAAAGAAAAAGCAAAATTCACAATAGTCACTCAAATAACTAGCAACTGAAAAAAGTTATAATAAATAAAAATTTGCTAAATTATAATTTAATGAAACAAGACATTGCTTTTGCATTGTGCTTAAAAAGAATAATTAAAAAAAATAAAACTGTCCCAGACAAATTAGAGCACTTTGCTGATGAGCAGTGAATCCAAATACCTGTCAACAGGAGCAGAAGTCTGACTGAGAGTTACAGAAACACTTGATTGGCTCAAAGGGTTGTTCAACAAAATATTAGTCTACAGGTCCCATCATGCTTGTTTGCTTGTTTTTAATGTATTTCTGTTGAACCACAATTCAAAAGCAACGCCATGATTTTCATTAATTCTTTATTTACTGTTACTGTTGTCAGCTTATTTCAGTGACAGCTGTTTATTTTCTTCTTTAATGGGAGGGTTTGAATACATTTGAGGACGACTGTAGATGACATTTTTCTTCTTTTCCAGGGTTGGCCAGATGATGATGATACTTTTCTTTCCTACAGACTTATTGTCTAGTTAGTAGATGTATGCTGTTCCCCACTTCACCCTGAGAGGAAATGTTATTCTGATTGTGTCAGAAAAGAAAAAAGTATGTTCCTAACAGATAGCAAATCAAAATACTAAATACATATATAGGCTCATTGGCAGCTTTTGTAGTCATACAGTTCAATGCTCTGTCATAAACTCGGTTTTCACAATGTAGTGTAATATAATATAATGTGGGATGAGATCGTGATTGTTGGAGTTTTGTGTTTTATGACCTGCTTTTAAAAAAACAACAACTGCACAGCACTTAGGATCAACCCCTTTTGTTTTAAATGTGTTTTATAAATAGAGTTGACAGTTACATGACTGACTATGACCTCAGTGTCAACACGATATATTTTATGAGACAGTGTCAGAAAACCTAACATGACAAGCATGTGTGCATCTAATAATGTAGCTGAACTGTGCATATGATCAAAAGTAGAAACAGGTTTATTATCTAAGTACAGGACGCCTTAGTTCAGTGAAGTACTTTCATCACATTCCATGTTTTCCCATCACTTTAATTCTCGGGTTTAAATCAATTATTTCAACATTATTCTAAAGACAAACAGATAAAAACTGTCATTCACGGCAACACAGTCCACAAACATCACTTGATCCGTGTCAGACTGTGCACTTGCTTTTAAACTTTTAAGGCTTTTATGTAATTATAAGGCACTTTCCAAAACATTTCCACGCTTTCAAACTGCACAGAACACTATGACTCCACTCTTCCATCGCATCATCTGTTATTGATCACAATGCCAGAGCAGCAACTGTAAGGACGAAACAAACACAGCCTCCAGAAACCTCGTCTTCTTTTGTCATGCTGTTGTGTTTGATCAGCTCCGGTTCACAGATGTTTTAACACACAGCAACTAACGGTGCTGATCGGCAGCTCACCGTTGACATGTTTAAACAGAAACTGGGCAAGTCGTTCTGATCATGAACAACAGTGTCAAACAATCAGCAGTAAACTCTGGATACTAGGAGACACTGTCAGTCCCTCCCTGTCTGTAATACAAGATTCTTAATCTACTTCCTCTGTCACACGAAAATAAAAACTGATTCCAAGCTCACTGACAGTTCCAGCATCATCACAATGCAAAATACACATCATTAGGGGCTCTATTGTATTATGGCATGAGGTGATATCTTCAGATTGTTCAACGAAATTCCACAAAGTAAGTAACTGGGAATAAGGTTTCTAGGTTTCTATTTCTTTCGAACAATTAATTGATCAGTTATCCTACATTATATGAGACATATCAATAAATGGCAAACAAAATCATACCTCTGTCTTACAGCACAATGATGCTCTGGTTAATTATTGCTAAAGGGACTGATTGTACTTCATCGTGGGATTTGCAACAAGAGAAATTAGTTTTCTAGGGTTGTACAAAGAGCAAGAGTTTGTGCTAAGCCGGACGAATGCAACCATTAAAAACAACGCAGTGTGGAGTATTCTGTAATATGTAAAGCAGAGGGTTATGAAGAAGTACGACAACCAGTGATAAATCCAACTCTTGGATCGTAAAATGCCAATAATAACTGCAAGTGTCCATCCCAAAATCTGCTTTGTCCAATCAACACAGTTCTGCAACACGTATAGCATTTTGAAAGAATCTGCGACAGTGAGAAAACAAATACAGAAGCAAGGTGAAAATACTGAGACAGTTACATGCAGTTGGCCTCCACTGCTACCCTGCCGCTACCAGTTCAGGCTGTGATTGGTCTGTTTGTGTTTGAGGCGGGTCTTCAGGGCCAGAAGGTCAATGTAGAGGATCTGATTGAGGACAGCCGAGGCACAGAGCAGCCCGCCGTGCAGAGCTCCAGCCATGCCGTTACAGAAGACGTCTTGACCTGCACACACAGAGGCATCGAGGCGGTTAAGTAGCGGGGTTTACCACTGACTTACCTGAGTCATCACGTGGACTTCTTTCGGAGAACGTTGTTTTCTCTGCTAGCTTTCCAATCCATTTTTGCATTGATGTATACACAAAGAAGTTCAGAGGTAACACGTACAACTGTGTTTGAAATCAGAATACCAACAGGTACCACAGTTTTCTTATTCCTGTTTTAAATAAGGTAGAATAGCACTTTTCTACCTTAATAGTACCCAAAGCACCAATGGCAACAGAGCTGCCATGCAAGGTGCTACCTGCAGTGTCTTGCCCAAGGACACTTCAACTGTGGATCGCTCCACCAACCTTGCAATTCGAGGACAACCCAACCACCACCTGAGCCACCAAGAAATCATGCTACTTAAAGGGCCAGTGTGTAAGATTTAGCGGGACATAACAGTGGAAATTAAATCTCATATTCACGGAGCCTGCTATGTTGTGCTGTCCTGTTTCTACCCAGAGTGGACAAACTAACCACTGGCTTTCGCATTTTTATGTTGAAGTGACAGCACCCATGGGTTCTGTTGAGCTGGTTGAAATTTGCAGCCTCACCGCTAGATGGCACTGATTCCGACACACCGGTCCTTTAAGTGCCGTTAGCATCAGCCTGTTTAGCAACGTGAGTCGTGTCACCTGTTAGGTAGAGCCCGCTGATCGGAGTCTCTGCTCGTGTTTTGGCGACCACTTCCGGGCTGAAGCGCTCCAAGTTGTGTTCAGCTCCGTACATCTCACCTCTTGGAGCGCCCAGATAGTGGACGTTCGTTAGAGGGGTGGCAGCATCTACCATCACCACCTGAAAGTACATCAACAGGAGACAATCATCAACATAGAAGTGTAGCTTTTGTTTCCTCACAGCCTTCCACAGCAAATGGAACTCTGATACCTGAACAACTTTGAATTGCTGAAGAAGCTGATTGTGTACAGGAACTAGGCTAGTAAGTGAACCATAGAATAAGTCGAGAAGGACGCAAACCCAAGATGATTTAAAAAGCTTTCTTGTCGACATCATTCACTTTAGTAAGTTGTAGTTACTGACACTGCATTGGATGTAATTTTTTGGCAACTTGGGGCAGCAGTACAAACTCAAACTCCTTTTAACTCCATTTTGGTCTCAGCCAACTTCAGTAGAAGACATCTAGTTCTTTAGCTGTTAGATGCTCACCAGTTAGTTGCTAACTTTGTCTGTCTGCTCATTGGTGCTTGGCAGGTCGCAAATAGTGGGATGAGTTTATGTTTTCAACCCAAAATAGCTACCGAGTGTAACATCAGCTAACAAAACAATGAGCTAAACAAGCTAAAAAGCTCTATATGACGACGGTTTACATGGAGCAAACAATAATGTTTGAAGGCCAGGTGTGCACTGTCGCACCCCTTTTTAAAAAAACTTTTAATATCAGAAAAAGTCCAAGCTTCACGTATTGTTTTGCATGTTGATGTATCTGTATCACTCCACAAGCACATCTACATGCAAACATCGGCTCACACCTTGTCTCGAAGCTGAGGGAAGATGGTTAGCGCCCACTCCAGCAGCTCCTGGGCCATGCCGTTTTTCATATCCACGTAGTCCTGTCCCCTCTTGCCAAGCTTTGTCCCCTCCCATTCTTCGAACCACTCGTAGCGAGCCATCGTTAGCAACGTCATACAGGACTTCCCTGCAGAGAAAGACGAAGGAGAATAAAAGCAAGACGGGCAAATGTTTCAAATCGCTTTTTGAACATTGTCCAGTAAAAATTTTGTCATCTGATATCATTTAAACCAATGGAGCCCATTGCATGTTGCAGCCATTAGGACTTGGACACCTTCTGTAGCACTTTAATATTTTGGTGCAGTGCCTTATAATCCACAGTCATGTCAAGTCATCTGAAAAATTCTACATTCTGATAGCACCTAGTGGCTCTCGACCTTCTTATCATTTGGCTTGGAGACGTTTACTTCAGCCCAACTTGTGGAAATATTGAACAATTGGTAGTGATTACTGCAAATTTAGAGTGTAAAGTGCTGCAAAGCTTGACTTGGCAAATGGTTAGTTGCACTGTTGTAGATATTTAGCAGGTGGCCAATGTTGAGATCATCCGTAGCAATCACCCAGCAAAGAATACAGATGCTGGAGAAAGTCAGGTATAATTCAGGGATCAAAAATGGTGAAATCCCATAAAAGATATCACGTACATTGCATTTTTGTGTTACCTGGGTGTCTGATGTTGGACGTAGGGTCTTTAGCAGATGGGAAAGTGATGAACATCATGGGTATGTTCCCCAATACCTGGTCTTTGCTCAGAGATGAGTATTTCTCCATACTTCACACATGTGCACACACACACAGACGCAAAAGGCAGCACATTAGTTAAATCTATAAAGTTTAAAATACAGTAAAATGAGAACAAGGTTGTGCTAAACTAACATGTATTGTGAAAGATTAAAAAGGTAGAAGCAAAAACCCACAGCGAGTCCAAGTCATTGTCTTTATACATCCAGAAGTTGGTGGAAACGATGCCCAGCTCCTCTTTGGTTCCATCCAACCCGACGAAAGTCAAGAAGGAACCCATTCCGTGACGTACCATACCCAACAACGAACTGACCTCTGCACAGCAATGCACACCAAGACTATGAACGTCACAGGAAATACATGATTGTGCAAAAAGAAAAAAATCAGAGGTGAGTGCAATCGAACGAGTTTATATGCATTACCTGGTTGGTCCTGTATCTGCTTAGGTAGAAACTTCTGGAAGGTGTTGAAGATTCCAGCATTGGAAATAACAACTGGGGCACGGACCTCAATTTCTTCTTGTCCTTTAAGCACCGTAACACCTAACACACACATGTACATACAGTGTTATTGTCATGGGTCTTGCAAAAGTTCTTCTAGATATCGCAAAACCACTCTTTCTTTACTCCAACCATGTTTTTTCCACCCTTCATGTCCCTTCTTCTGGGGCTTAGAAGGGACAAGAAGGCAGGCCTTACCTTACATAAGCCTGTCAAAGGGCTGGTGCCAGAGAAAATGACAGAACGCTTTGGACAAGACATGAGGTTTAATGTGGAGTTAAAATCTAGCCACTGTTGGCTTAAATAAACAGAACAGGCTGGTTACACTTCCATAGAACAGGTCGTCCGAGCCTTACTCACCACAGGCCTTCCCCTGCTGGTCGAGGAGGATGCGTTGTACAGGAGCCCTGACTAGCACTGCGCCTCCTGACTGCTGAATAACCGGGATGATGTGAAAGGCAAACTCACTGGCGCCCCCTCGTGGGTAGTACGCACCACGCTTGTAGTGGTGAAGGAGGAGAGCGTTGATGAGAAAGCTGGACTCTTTAGGAGGAACACCTACATGGCAAAGCACATACAGAACAGTGAAGTGGACGTACAGTGTGTGTGTGATCCGTATGACTGCATATGTGTGTGTTTTCAGCACCGTAGAACAGGTAGGCAGACAGAGCCTGCAGGTCCTTGTTTTGCGTGAGGCGGGACATTATTTCTGAATGGTTGGTTGTTGCTAGGCGAAACACTGAAGATATGCGATCCAAGAGGCCAGTCCGAATGAGGAAGTTAGCCAGCCAGTATGGTACGATCTTCAAGGTGGCGATGAGGGGTGTCCTCCGTGAGGCTAGCTGCAAGTGGACACAGTCACATTAGTGAAGAATCAGATTCATCTTTTCTCCTCTGCTACTCTGAATGGCAGTCAGCATAATAACCAAAATCCTAACTGTGCTTGTATTAGTCTTTGAGCATCAGATGAACAGATTTCTTGGAATTTAGCTACAGCTGTCGGTTTTTATGTGCCACCTCAACATTCTTTAAAAAATTGGAAAACACTACTAGTTGGTTGGTTTGTGTTCCAGTTAGGACTTAAGAGCATGCAGAAAAAGATTCTCTCACATGACGTGGCTAAGCTGATTTCCAACATATCATTTTTTGCCTTCCTAGTATTGTCTTTGGATGTATTCAACTCAAGTACATGTGTTTTTTGTTGAACTATTTTACCCCATAATGGGCTTCAGAATTAATTTTCAGGCAGTTCTAAACACATTTATCATAATTTATTTATTTATTTATTTTTCTGGCCTAGCAAGCCCCTTGAATCCAGTTGCACACAGTTGTTGTTGCCTTCTTTACCCCTTACCTGTTTGTTTTGCTGTGATATACAAGGGCCTGGAAAGATGGGAGCTAATAAAGCTTCATTTGCTGCGATACAAATCAATAAAGGGTGCTAACATCATCACAGCTAACTGCTACATAGAGTTGGGTGTCGTCTACATAGCAATGAAACCCAATACTGAGTTTGCTAATAACGACCACTAGTGGGGACATAATTAGACCAAAAAACAGTGAAGTCTGTATCATTCTCATTTGATGATAACAACTGTATTTCTTCTTTTACTCGTACTGCCTCCTATCATCTCCTTTCTGTAATCTTGTCCATCACCCCACCATGATTATCAATACCTCCCTCCCTCTCTACCTTCATCAGTCTCATGAACTCATCAATGGCCTCCTCTTCTCCTGGGAACTGCTTCTTCAGGCTCGCTGCCATCTCAGTCTTCCCTGCATGGATATGGTACTCCCTGAGAATGACAAGACGAACAATGTAAGAGATGCAAAACGAAGCGGTGAGAGTGGGGGAAATGCTGTTTTGTGCTGAAACATTAACCGCAACCAACGCCTTAGAAAGCACTAGTACGATGTTAATGAGTTCACAAAGCTATGCAGAGCAAATGAAGAAGTCCTTTACAGATAAAAAAGAAAGAATGAAACTCTGCAATGCTGTAACCAAGAAGATGTGGTTTACCTGCGCTGGTCAGGCTGACCCAGGACCAGCGTATCAAAGTGCTTCTCCAGCCTTGTGAACATAAGCTGTCCATCTGTGATCTGATCCAAAGCAATTTTCAACATGCTGTTCTCATGAAGCTGGCCCAGGTAGTGGATACCTGGCGGTGGCAAATCAAATATTTGATGCAATACTCCCACAACACCTTTTAATAACCTTCCTCCAGATGGAACTAAAGGTACACTGCAGTCACAACTATGTTTTGAGCGTAGCGTTGCGTGTTTACTTTGAATACTTACCCACATCAAACTCAAACCCCTTGTTCTCAAAGGTGTGTGTGCAGCCTCCAGCCTGATCATGTTGCTCAAGAACTACAACCTTCTTCCCAGCTTTGGACAAAAGCGCTGCCGCTGTCAAACCTCCCACGCCGCTGCCAATCACCACCGCATCCAGAGCAGCGGGAACACGGTCCACTCGAAACCCTGCAGGGATACATGTTTTCACATCAGTCTGGTGGAAGGTTATGAGGGTTTCTTGTCACCTTTTTTCATTTAGGTTTTTTATTTTTACATCAGATCTGCAATTAAAAGATCCAAATGGTTATGTACATATTATTATAGCTAAATATAACCTGGCTGCAAAAAACTATTGGTAAAGCATCTTTAGTATCGGTCCCTGGGTAACACTTATGTTCTGCCACAGTTTAGGTACCTTGATATTTATAAGGCAGACTTCAAATCTGCCTGTATATGACATCCATTGCAAATCTTTACGTAAATCATTTACAGCTACTGTTTCTTTATTTTCAAATCACCAATGTTTTCATGAAAATTCATCCACATTTGTAGACATTTTGGCACAATGCTGATTCGAGCTACTGTCTAATATACTCAAAATGACAAGGTACAGCATCATATTTACCATCACAATCAGTACTTTAGCTTAGCATGTTAGCATGTTGCTAATTAGCACAAAACACATATTACTGTTGAGTTAAATGGGAAAGTTTGTTGTTAGCTTTTCCGGGGTTTGATTGTAAACCAAAATTTGAACTAATTTGTTTTAATTTTTGACCCGATGACGGCGATAGAGGAAAAATCAGCAGATTACTAAAGTCATTAGAATTTAACGCCACGGGGGGCATTGAACACCAAACGCAAAATGTACAACAGTACATCCAACAGCTGTCAAGAGTTTTCACTCTGAACCCAAAACCCCCTTAAAAGGGAAAACTCAAGGCTATTGGAATCATTAGGACTCATATTTTGGGGACCTTGAATGTCAGCATAAACCTTTATACTTAGCCAAAAATAGAGATTATGCCTGCTTATGGCACTAGAGGAAAAGTCTGTGTAATTACAATCATAGAGATTCATCTTCTGGGAATCATGCATGTCCCAGGGTGTCAAGTTGTTGACTGAAAAAATGAAATTTTCACCTGCTGGTGGCGCTAGAGAATAACAAGGTCATTTGACTTTCTGGAGAAGAGTTTATGGCAACACATCCAACAAGACATTACACTGTAACCACAAAATATAAACCTCACAGAATCACAATCTGGTCAGTAGGGCTCATCCTCTTGGGACCATGACAGTTTCAACCAAATAAAATTCAATGAAAATCAGCTACATGGCAAAGCCTTCAGTAGTGACAAGCTGATCAATTCTGCAATCCCTAGAACTGCTGAGATTTGTACTGGTAGACGGATTTACAGAAAGTATCTGTTAATCAGAAACTTATCCAAGATTCCAGCTTCTGTTTCACAAACTTGTCTTACCTGTCTTCAGCCTGGCATCCCTCTGCTTGCTGTCAGTGACCAGGGGTCCCGGTGGCCTTAGGCACTTCTCGCTGAACACCTTGTAGCGTTTCCCGGTGACCAGGAAGAAGGTGATGATCCCCACCAACGCCAAACAGCTCAATATCCCAAGCAGCCACCACCACATAGCAGAAGAGAGCTTTGGATCTACTTTATACAAGAGCGGCAACAGCAGGAGGGAGGACAAAGTAGGAAGGGAAACTCAAGAACACACAAATCCAAGCAGGAGTGAAGGATCAAAAGAAAAGTGGGTAAAAGGAAGAAGAAAGCTATCCACCGAGGGCTTCCCCCTTAAGAAGAGAACTCAAATTCCACGGAGAAGGAGGTTACAATGAGGGGTGGAGTGAAGGAAAGAGAGGTTTGATGGTTGTTAAGGTTTAGAAGAGAAGTAAAAGGATATGTGACATGTGACATTTTGGAAATTCTGACTCTGGACTTACAAGAGCGGATAACACATTCTCCACACCGAGGACATGAGACCAGCAGAGAAGGGAGCTGGTTGTTTCGTACTCGATCACACTGTTCTGTGGTGTCCACACACAAAAAAGCTGCTTCACTGCTCATTACTGAAGTGCTTTAGGGAGTATGGTCCTGTGTACTTGAAATCATTGAAATCATCTTAGTTCCGCTTCGTGATCGTGAACAAGGAGCCTTTAAGAGGTAGAACACTGCTGAAGACGAGTGTGCAGTAAAGAATAATAATGTCAGATTAGAAACAGGAATATAATCATAATATTTGTCCTATTATCTTGTTTTTTTT